CGATCATTCATCCTACGTGGGGACCGTCTCTCACGACCTGACGAAAAAGAACGAGAACGACGTCCATTTCGTCGTGGAGTAACCGATCGTCTGAAAAGTTAAAAATGAACTCATTTGCGAGAATGCATCCAGAGATTTATTGGTGTAAGTTAAACGAGGCATGCAAGCGATACCAATTTCACATGTAAACCAAACAAAATACACTAAATCATAAAACACCAGTGCAATAACAGCTGTCTTCACACTAACTAACAATTAGGCTACAAGAACCATACAGTCAATACACAGATTACACCCACTTTCCAAACATATCTATGCATAGCTACGCAGAAATAACTAACTACTTCTATTCTGCCTTCCATGACCTAAGCTAGGAGACGTCCATAAACCCTCAAAATAACATCTTCCTCTCAATTACTTCATCCCCGTCACGCCAACAACTAATCAATCCCTCCTCTCACAGGAAATACATCCCAATACGCATTACTCACTCTCTCAAAGCTCACCTACGCTCTCGAACGTAAATCAACTAATAACTAACGCATGGTCGCATCCAACTCCCAGCATCGTCTATCACATTATGCGCACAGAAACAAACTCACCCTAACAATTCGACTGACACAAATAAAAACATGAACAATCGAAATGTGCAGATGGTACTAAAGGCACGCAAGTGCCACTAGCGACCACCTCCTATCACTTCAATTTAGCATTTTTCGGAGACCAGAAACAACGTTCTGGCACTATGGAAATGCACTGAACTCGATTACACAGTTTACAACTTTGTCGGAGCTATCCATACTCGGCAACAACATTGCCAATGATATCGCTCCTTTTAATATCGCATTCCAAATACACCCGACAACAGCCGTGCTCTAGCGGAATGCACGAGAACAGCAGACATCCTATGACAACTTGTGAGAGCAATTTTAACAGGATGCTTCGCATACCGCCAGTGATTGCTCCCTTTACTATCGCATCTTTGAAACATTAGACTTGTCAATCAAGCCTTCTCAGATGCATCACACCAAGCTTAAGCTTAAGCTTAGGCTAAAACCCCAGGAAAATCCAATATCACTCGAACGCACAACCACTCAACGGCAGTTATCATCATCAACAACAAGACCGCTTCCTGCTCTAACATCAAGCCTGTGACAGCTTAGAAACCATCTCAGACACAAACACACATCAAGCCATACATTGGAAATGCATTCACCATCACCGTCACTCCACACATTTCAACAAATATCATATCGTTCTTCTCTCACACTAATTAGCTATATCATTCTGCATATATTCATCTCCCTCTCTCTCCCCCCCCCCCTATCATCTCCAACCAGTGACTCCCACAACCACACATTCACATCGTACACAATATAGTAGTAATACTTCCCGAAACAATACAAACAGGAAGATTCAACAGAAAGGCAAACAGACAAACAACCAATGCATACGCGTTGTGTAAGAACAGAGCGGACTCGAAGATGCGAATCAAACTCGTACCCGCCTCTCAAACACAATGAAACAACAGTGCACCAGAAAACACCACTCACTCATCCACACAATTCTATAAACCTTCCACCACCATACGAAACCTACTACAGTTAAATGCACCAAGCAAATAAACTGAATATGCAACTGAAACACCACCAACACCGACAAACAATCATCAACAACTTCGACGAACAGATCGGTAATAACCTTCACAACAAACAATCAACTCACCACACTCATAAGCCGAAATTGTCAGTCCACGAAGACAATCAACTAGCCACGTCCTAACTTTCACTTCGAACAAAAACATTCACTTACATGGTATCTACATATCAATTCCTTACTGATCAGTGCAGTCTGAAACAGCAGTCTTCAACTCATAACCCACAATCACTCCGCTCAAAAACCAATGTACGTCAAACACCCTTCCATCAAATTAAATCATAGCAGATGTTTGAACAGAACGTTGTGATGACCATTCATTTTCCAGAGGGCTACGAAGTCCAGACTCTTGAAAACACAAGACAAATGTTCTCAGTGTGTGACCACTGTCAGTCCCCGATATCAGCCTCACAAGACAAGTCACAAATCCCATTCATCTCCTAACTATAACACTAAACTATGACTCAAATCTATGGATACGCTAAACACAGTTAGTTCACAACCACCTGAAGCAGAAGCAAACCTCAACACAAAACACGATACGTGAACACCAACCTTCACCAATCACTTCACAACTGGCATCTTCGGCGACCAACACTACATTCTTCAACACAAAAGTAACACATTAACTTCGACTAAAACAAAGTCTTCAATGTAGGAGCTATTTGAGAGACTAGCAAGAAAAACATGTCTCTGTAAAACCACTCCTTTTCATGTAGCATCCTTACGACACCTGATCACTATCAGGCTCTAACAGAATGCATACGCGCAAAACTCCAAACAATGATCTAACGCGGCCTACCCGCATCTCAAAATAACCATCCATCGCCATCAATCACATGTTTACACTGTATATCCAGTCGTAGTGAAGCATAAACACTGTTTAGTTAGTTGCTCACACCCTTCATTTACTCCTCCCTAAGAATCGCTCCTGTCTAAACTAAGGTGAAATTACTCAGAATTACTCTAATCACCAACAACACTCGGCTATACAAGTAACAAAACTATATCCTAGAAAACACCTCTCAACTATTATCTAGTAGTACAATATCCCCAATCCTATTCTTTTCACCTACACCACATACACTGCCCCAGGACAGACAAACAAGAAAACACCTCGACAACACTAGGCAATTATCGTGAACACTGCAGTCCACAAGGATTGCAGTGAGACAGAAAATAGTCACTTCGTCGAGCATTATCACTCCAGCTGCCCTACATCGGATCAAGCTCGACAAATACTTCAACATCAAAGGCACAAATCCCTCAAATACGTCATGATACAACTATCTGTTATATACTTTGGAAAACGTTTTATCAATTACTGTAGTGGCTTACCGTGCGCGCATCAGGATAACCAGGATCTAGGCCCAAACTACAGGGTTAGAACCATCACTTTTCGGCAATCCTGCTGCAGCCATCTGATCCACTCACCGCACAAACACCCACCAGTCTGAACAACCTCACTTGTCAACGCCAAGTACTCGCAAGCAGACAGCATGCAAATCTTCCCCACTATTTTGAATTGACTGTCTCGGACACCCTGTGGATCGACCGCTAAACCTACACCGACTAGTCGCCAGAACATACAGCAAGCAGCAGTTAACAGCTACAGCGCCACGGTTCAACCTGTTAGTCACACCCTCAGGCCACCAGTCTGACGAAAGAGCTTCAACTGCACACCAACCAAAACTATGTCTCCAGATTAACAGCTACACGCCGAGTCACGAAATCTGCAAACAGCTAACAACTGGAAACTGTCTCCCCCCGACACTGCAAATATCAGCAACCTCCCCGCGCACCAGCACAGTACACAGGCAATCCATAACGGCAGGATACCAACTGATAAGAAAAGCAAAAGACTGAGTTAAATAATAAATTCATGATGTATGCATACAAACCGATAAAAACAATGAACAATTCAAGTAAGCAGAAGTCAACGACGTTCTCTTGACAGGGACCGACTATAGCGTCGAGGAGAGGAGGGAAGACGGTATCGATCATTCATCCTACGTGGGGACCGTCTCTCACGACCTGACGAAAAAGAACGAGAACGACGTCCATTTCGTCGTGGAGTAACCGATCGTCTGAAAAGTTAAAAATGAACTCATTTGCGAGAATGCATCCAGAGATTTATTGGTGTAAGTTAAACGAGGCATGCAAGCGATACCAATTTCACATGTAAACCAAACAAAATACACTAAATCATAAAACACCAGTGCAATAACAGCTGTCTTCACACTAACTAACAATTAGGCTACAAGAACCATACAGTCAATACACAGATTACACCCACTTTCCAAACATATCTATGCATAGCTACGCAGAAATAACTAACTACTTCTATTCTGCCTTCTATGACCTAAGCTAGGAGACGTCCATAAACCCTCAAAATAACATCTTCCTCTCAATTACTTCATCCCCGTCACGCCAACAACTAATCAATCCCTCCTCTCACAGGAAATACATCCCAATACGCATTACTCACTCTCTCAAAGCTCACCTACGCTCTCGAACGTAAATCAACTAATAACTAACGCATGGTCGCATCCAACTCCCAGCATCGTCTATCACATTATGCGCACAGAAACCAACTCACCCTAACAATTCGACTGACACAAATAAAAACATGAACAATCGAAATGTGCAGATGGTACTAAAGGCACGCAAGTGCCACTAGCGACCACCTCCTATCACTTCAATTTAGCATTTTTCGGAGACCAGAAACAACGTTCTGGCACTATGGAAATGCACTGAACTCGATTACACAGTTTACAACTTTGTCGGAGCTATCCATACTCGGCAACAACATTGCCAATGATATCGCTCCTTTTAATATCGCATTCCAAATACACCCGACAACAGCCGTGCTCTAGCGGAATGCACGAGAACAGCAGACATCCTATGACAACTTGTGAGAGCAATTTTAACAGGATGCTTCGCATACCGCCAGTGATTGCTCCCTTTACTATCGCATCTTTGAAACATTAGACTTGTCAATCAAGCCTTCTCAGATGCATCACACCAAGCTTAAGCTTAAGCTTAGGCTAAAACCCCAGGAAAATACAATATCACTCGAACGCACAACCACTCAACGGCAGTTATCATCAACAACCACAGACCGCTTCCCGCTCTAACATCAAGCCTGTGACAGCTTAGAAACCATCTCAGACACAAACACACATCAAGCCATACATTGGAAATGCATTCACCATCACCGTCACTCCACACATTTCAACAAATATCACATCGTTCTTCTCTCACACTAATTAGCTATATCATTCTGCATATATTCATCTCCCTCTCTCTCCCCCCACCCCTATCATCTCCAACCAGTGACTCCCACAACCACACATTCACATCGTACACAATATAGTAGTAATACTTCCCGAAACAATACAAACAGGAAGATTCAACAGAAAGGCAAACAGACAAACAACCAATGCATACGCGTTGTGTAAGAACAGAGCGGACTCGAAGATGCGAATCAAACTCGTACCCGCCTCTCAAACACAATGAAACAACAGTGCACCAGAAAACACCACTCACTCATCCACACAATTCTATAAACCTTCCACCACCATACGAAACCTACTACAGTTAAATGCACCAAGCAAATAAACTGAATATGCAACTGAAACACCACCAACACCGACAAACAATCATCAACAACTTCGACGAACAGATCGGTAATAACCTTCACAACAAACAATCAACTCACCACACTCATAAGCCGAAATTGTCAGTCCACGAAGACAATCAACTAGCCACGTCCTAACTTTCACTTCGAACAAAAACATTCACTTACATGGTATCTACATATCAATTCCTTACTGATCAGTGCAGTCTGAAACAGCAGTCTTCAACTCATAACCCACAATCACTCCGCTCAAAAACCAATGTACGTCAAACACCCTTCCATCAAATTAAATCATAGCAGATGTTTGAACAGAACGTTGTGATGACCATTCATTTTCCAGAGGGCTACGAAGTCCAGACTCTTGAAAACACAAGACAAATGTTCTCAGTGTGTGACCACTGTCAGTCCCCGATATCAGCCTCACAAGACAAGTCACAAATCCCATTCATCTCCTAACTATAACACTAAACTATGACTCAAATCTATGGATACGCTAAACACAGTTAGTTCACAACCACCTGAAGCAGAAGCAAACCTCAACACAAAACACGATACGTGAACACCAACCTTCACCAATCACTTCACAACTGGCATCTTCGGCGACCAACACTACATTCTTCAACACAAAAGTAACACATTAACTTCGACTAAAACACAGTCTTCAATGTAGGAGCTATTTGAGAGACTAGCAAGAAAAACATGTCTCTGTAAAACCACTCCTTTTCATGTAGCATCCTTACGACACCTGATCACTATCAGGCTCTAACAGAATGCATACGCGCAAAACTCCAAACAATGATCTAACGCGGCCTACCCGCATCTCAAAATAACCATCCATCGCCATCAATCACATGTTTACACTGTATATCCAGTCGTAGTGAAGCATAAACACTGTTTAGTTAGTTGCTCACACCCTTCATTTACTCCTCCCTAAGAATCGCTCCTGTCTAAACTAAGGTGAAATTACTCAGAATTACTCTAATCACCAACAACACTCGGCTATACAAGTAACAAAACTATATCCTAGAAAACACCTCTCAACTATTATCTAGTAGTACAATATCCCCAATCCTATTCTTTTCACCTACACCACATACACTGCCCCAGGACAGACAAACAAGAAAACACCTCGACAACACTAGGCAATTATCGTGAACACTGCAGTCCACAAGGATTGCAGTGAGACAGAAAATAGTCACTTCGTCGAGCATTATCACTCCAGCTGCCCTACATCGGATCAAGCTCGACAAATACTTCAACATCAAAGGCACAAATCCCTCAAATACGTCATGATACAACTATCTGTTATATACTTTGGAAAACGTTTTATCAATTACTGTAGTGGCTTACCGTGCGCGCATCAGGATAACCAGGATCTAGGCCCAAACTACAGGGTTAGAACCATCACTTTTCGGCAATCCTGCTGCAGCCATCTGATCCACTCACCGCACAAACACCCACCAGTCTGAACAACCTCACTTGTCAACGCCAAGTACTCGCAAGCAGACAGCATGCAAATCTTCCCCACTATTTTGAATTGACTGTCTCGGACACCCTGTGGATCGACCGCTAAACCTACACCGACTAGTCGCCAGAACATACAGCAAGCAGCAGCAGTTAACAGCTACAGCGCCACGGTTCAACCTGTTAGTCACACCCTCAGGCCACCAGTCTGACGAAAGAGCTTCAACTGCACACCAACCAAAACTATGTCTCCAGATTAACAGCTACACGCCGAGTCACGAAATCTGCAAACAGCTAACAACTGGAAACTGTCTCCCCCCGACACTGCAAATATCAGCAACCTCCCCGCGCACCAGCACAGTACACAGGCAATCCATAACGGCAGGATACCAACTGATAAGAAAAGCAAAAGACTGAGTTAAATAATAAATTCATGATGTATGCATACAAACCGATAAAAACAATGAACAATTCAAGTAAGCAGAAGTCAACGACGTTCTCTTGACAGGGACCGACTATAGCGTCGAGGAGAGGAGGGAAGACGGTATCGATCATTCATCCTACGTGGGGACCGTCTCTCACGACCTGACGAAAAAGAACGAGAACGACGTCCATTTCGTCGCGGAGTAACCGATCGTCTGAAAAGTTAAAAATGAACTCATTTGCGAGAATGCATCCAGAGATTTATTGGTGTAAGTTAAACGAGGCATGCAAGCGATACCAATTTCACATGTAAACCAAACAAAATACACTAAATCATAAAACACCAGTGCAATAACAGCTGTCTTCACACTAACTAACAATTAGGCTACAAGAACCATACAGTCAATACACAGATTACACCCACTTTCCAAACATATCTATGCATAGCTACGCAGAAATAACTAACTACTTCTATTCTGCCTTCCATGACCTAAGCTAGGAGACGTCCATAAACCCTCAAAATAACATCTTCCTCTCAATTACTTCATCCCCGTCACGCCAACAACTAATCAATCCCTCCTCTCACAGGAAATACATCCCAATACGCATTACTCACTCTCTCAAAGCTCACCTACGCTCTCGAACGTAAATCAACTAATAACTAACGCATGGTCGCATCCAACTCCCAGCATCGTCTATCACATTATGCGCACAGAAACAAACTCACCCTAACAATTCGACTGACACAAATAAAAACATGAACAATCGAAATGTGCAGATGGTACTAAAGGCACGCAAGTGCCACTAGCGACCACCTCCTATCACTTCAATTTAGCATTTTTCGGAGACCAGAAACAACGTTCTGGCACTATGGAAATGCACTGAACTCGATTACACAGTTTACAACTTTGTCGGAGCTATCCATACTCGGCAACAACATTGCCAATGATATCACTCCTTTTAATATCGCATTCCAAATACACCCGACAACAGCCGTGCTCTAGCGGAATGCACGAGAACAGCAGACATCCTATGACAACTTGTGAGAGCAATTTTAACAGGATGCTTCGCATACCGCCAGTGATTGCTCCCTTTACTATCGCATCTTTGAAACATTAGACTTGTCAATCAAGCCTTCTCAGATGCATCACACCAAGCTTAAGCTTAAGCTTAGGCTAAAACCCCAGGAAAATCCAATATCACTCGAACGCACAACCACTCAACGGCAGTTATCATCATCAACAACAAGACCGCTTCCTGCTCTAACATCAAGCCTGTGACAGCTTAGAAACCATCTCAGACACAAACACACATCAAGCCATACATTGGAAATGCATTCACCATCACCGTCACTCCACACATTTCAACAAATATCATATCGTTCTTCTCTCACACTAATTAGCTATATCATTCTGCATATATTCATCTCCCTCTCTCTCCCCCCACCCCTATCATCTCCAACCAGTGACTCCCACAACCACACATTCACATCGTACACAATATAGTAGTAATACTTCCCGAAACAATACAAACAGGAAGATTCAACAGAAAGGCAAACAGACAAACAACCAATGCATACGCGTTGTGTAAGAACAGAGCGGACTCGAAGATGCGAATCAAACTCGTACCCGCCTCTCAAACACAATGAAACAACAGTGCACCAGAAAACACCACTCACTCATCCACACAATTCTATAAACCTTCCACCACCATACGAAACCTACTACAGTTAAATGCACCAAGCAAATAAACTGAATATGCAACTGAAACACCACCAACACCGACAAACAATCATCAACAACTTCGACGAACAGATCGGTAATAACCTTCACAACAAACAATCAACTCACCACACTCATAAGCCGAAATTGTCAGTCCACGAAGACAATCAACTAGCCACGTCCTAACTTTCACTTCGAACAAAAACATTCACTTACATGGTATCTACATATCAATTCCTTACTGATCAGTGCAGTCTGAAACAGCAGTCTTCAACTCATAACCCACAATCACTCCGCTCAAAAACCAATGTATGTCAAACACCCTTCCATCAAATTAAATCATAGCAGATGTTTGAACAGAACGTTGTGATGACCATTCATTTTGCAGAGGGCTACGAAGTCCAGACTCTTGAAAACACAAGACAAATGTTCTCAGTGTGTGACCACTGTCAGTCCCCGATATCAGCCTCACAAGACAAGTCACAAATCCCATTCATCTCCTAACTATAACACTAAACTATGACTCAAATCTATGGATACGCTAAACACAGTTAGTTCACAACCACCTGAAGCAGAAGCAAACCTCAACACAAAACACGATACGTGAACACCAACCTTCACCAATCACTTCACAACTGGCATCTTCGGCGACCAACACTACATTCTTCAACACAAAAGTAACACATTAACTTCGACTAAAACACAGTCTTCAATGTAGGAGCTATTTGAGAGACTAGCAAGAAAAACATGTCTCTGTAAAACCACTCCTTTTCATGTAGCATCCTTACGACACCTGATCACTATCAGGCTCTAACAGAATGCATACGCGCAAAACTCCAAACAATGATCTAACGCGGCCTACCCGCATCTCAAAATAACCATCCATCGCCATCAATCACATGTTTACACTGTATATCCAGTCGTAGTGAAGCATAAACACTGTTTAGTTAGTTGCTCACACCCTTCATTTACTCCTCCCTAAGAATCGCTCCTGTCTAAACTAAGGTGAAATTACTCAGAATTACTCTAATCACCAACAACACTCGGCTATACAAGTAACAAAACTATATCCTAGAAAACACCTCTCAACTATTATCTAGTAGTACAATATCCCCAATCCTATTCTTTTCACCTACACCACATACACTGCCCCAGGACAGACAAACAAGAAAACACCTCGACAACACTAGGCAATTATCGTGAACACTGCAGTCCACAAGGATTGCAGTGAGGGAGAATATGGTTATTTGACTGCACCTGACTGGTATCACACTAGACGACATTCATATAATCCTATACCATACAGCATTCGGTCATCTTAGGCAGTCGACATCACATGTCTAATTACTCATTTGCATGCACAGAGATTATCTTGGAACGTGTAATGGTATGCGTATGCTTATGGTGTCACAGGAATGTAGTTTCTTGTATCCTGTCGTCAATGTCAAATGGGTGCAATGATAAAATAAGTGGCTTAAATATGTACGAATGCAATGATAAGCTATGATATGTATGTTACCTTCGGCGATTTGGAGTTGGCCGGCCGTATTTAGCTCTCTGGACGCGAATTTCACGGCCGTCCACCTTGTGTCCATCCATACCACGTATTGCACAATCTGCCTCCCTGTCTGAGCAATACCTCACGAAGGCGAATCCTCTGCTCTCGAAAGTATATGGATCTCTAGGGATGTAAATATCGCCTACAGTAGTTT